CTTCCAGGGGTGGGGGGCGTAACCCAACACAGGGAAGGCAGTGAACTGTCAGGGTTTGGGATAAGGACTGGTGTGTGCTGCCCAAGGATGAGCAGCCAGCTCCCTGGCACTGGTGGGAGAGGGCAGGAGAGCAGCAGACTCTGGAATAAGGCTTGCTAGATGTGGTTTCTAATCACTGATTTGGGAGCTGGCTGTGGGTTAGTCAGCTGATTTTATCCAACCTGGAATGGACCACTTCCAACACAACTGAGTTGAGATGGAAATAAAGAGAGAAGGTGTATTTCCAGCCACATCCCTGCTACAGAAAAGGAGACTTGAGGAAATTTTTTATGCTGTTTTTGCTTTAGTTTGTCTTTATCCTGTCTTTATCCTTTCTTATTTGTTTCTTATTCAAGGCTTAAATAGCTCATTGTGTACTTTATAGGGCAAGTTATTTTCAAGTTTATCTAACAGAGGATTGCTTATTCTCAGGCCCTACCTTCAGTTGTTTGCCTGATATCTGGGGAGCAGGGCCTCTTCGGATCAATGTGGGGTCAGGATCTGTAGCAGACTAAGCAGAAATAAATACCTTCCAATGCCTCTGCAGCATGGTAAGAACAGTGGTGAGAAGGATGTGAATGTACTGGACAGAAGGGTCACGAAAAATGACCCAGCAATGAAAAACAAACATTGCAACAGAAGTCATCATCTCAGCAATTCTATCAAGGAGAAGACTGAAGACGTGACCTGACTACTGAGTCAATGCTGAGTTTTTAACTTTGCAGATAAGGTCATAACAAGCTCTTCTGGACAAGTAACATATATGTTGCAGGGCAATATGAAGAGTCTGTCTCTAAAATGGCTGACTGCTCAGTCTTTTTCTTATTCCTGGCGTCATACGGACAGTCAGTCTACGACCAGAGAGAAATATCCCTCAGGTGATACAGGGGAGAAGGCATTTGCAAAGTGAGTGTAAAGAGAGAGAAGTTCATTAATACATCTGAAGCATTCAAACAAATACCGTAAGAGAGAAAGCCCCAGAAGAAAATAAATGATTACGCCTTCAAAGCAAGTCTTGAACAGCCCTCAGTATAAAGTACCTGGGACTGAATAATGAACAGTGGGGGGAAAGAGAAGGAACAGGACTTTAACACATATTCACTAAGGAAAGGGAAACATACAGATACCAACAGTATATGTGGAGTGCTGGTGAACTGATGTTAGGCACACAGTCTTGATACTGGAATTTCTTAGCTCTAACGAGAAGTTCTAAAGTTCATTTTTAAAAGTCCTTGTTTTAAAAACAGTTTTTCTATGTATAGCATTCTAAAGATGCAAATATACATAGAGACGTATGCTTACAATGACCATTGTGGTTTCATAAATAAATGTGCACATAAACACTTCCAAACACATCCTGCACCGTCCAGCCTCAGGAGTTGTGGTGGATGGTTCTAAAGCTGCCTGACACTTCAGCAGGCAGCACTGGTGTGTAAAGGAAGAACACATCTCAAAGTTTGACTCCACTGCTGATGATGCCACCATGAAACCCAGCGAAGGAGGAAAATGAGGGCCAAAATTTGTCCTCTTTCCAGCCCTCAAACGTTAGAGAGGGTTTTCCCCTTTTCCTCTGCAGCCACCGTTCACCATGGGTGAATGATCCATGCTGTGCCTGGATCTCCCCCTCCTCATCGCTTCTGCAGGCAGTTTTCTCAGTAAAATTATTTTTTCTTTATGTTGCCCTATTGTTAAGCACTTCTAACTCTTCAGCAATGGTAGCCTTCAAACACTCTCTGGGATTCAGCAACACCAATGAATTGACCTTCAGGACACAGACAGGGTGCTGGCCAGGGGCCACCCTCACCTCCTTGTAGACTCTGTGTCCTGGTTCGCACCTGTTTCCATGCAGAGCTACCATACCATGCTTGCCACCGTAATGTCTGGGATCAAGCCTATCCTTTAACCCACACCAATTTATGCCTGGTGACCTCCCAGGTGTATTTTGGGGACAGGCCTAGCATTCTTTATTGCTCCAACTGTGCCTTGATTTTCACACAAAGGAAATGTGAGAACCGGGGCAGAAGACAGCTGTAGGGAGGGATGGTGCTCTCTAAGAGGCTCCTCCGATCTGAACAGGCAGGAGCACAGGATCACAGTCCAGGGCGCAAAGCACATCGCACCATAGTCTAAAGTCAAGCTGAGAGCTTAAAGCCTCTAAGTTTGCCTGGGAGCTCCAGAAAACTACAGAGGAACCCAATGAACACATCACCTGCAGAGGGAAGGTCATTGACAGCAGACATCCTGCCCCAACTCACCTGCTTTATCCCAGGAGCTGGATTTCTCCTCATTCCCAGTACCTAAAGCTTACCAGAAGGCCGAAGAGTCAGCTTTTGTCTCACGAGGCACATAGCTGCTTCTAAGTATTATGTCACTCATTTCTTGATCAACAAGTGTGTAACTGCTCAACACCTCTTGGAAACTTACAGTTCACATTTCTAATAAATCTTTAAAATTATATGGAGCATCACACGTATTAATACTTACCTTTCAAAATACTTGCAGTGCAGATAGCAATCTGATCCAGAAGAATTTTAGCAGCTGTTGGCTTGAAGAGGAAATTATTAATTTAGGGCCTTACACTACCTTCAGAACCCCTTTACCAGTTTTTATGATTTCTTAAAAATGTTAATACAAAGGCAGGCATGTGGAACTCTAACTGGAGAGTCGCAGAGCCTCGTCACACTCAATAAAACCTCTCATGGGTGCAGTGTAACTGAAGTAATACACAGAGACCCCTTCCTGCATATTCCTCCCTGCAGATTCCTGCCAAAACCAGTAAGACTAATTTCACTTTTCCCAACACACCACAGATGTGGGTTGACCAATCTGTACATAGAATGGGTGTGCTTTGTGAATGAATTTGTTGTTATAATTAGATCTGGTTCTAAAGACAGAATACAGCTATAAGTATTTTTACCAGTGGGTTTTTTTGGTCTTTAAAAGCCAAGCCTAGGAAAAAAAAAGGCCTGACAAATGTTGAGACAAATTTACTAACCTCAGTTCCTCAGTGGTAGTATTTCTATGACTAGAAGCTCACTGCACAAGGCAAAGCAAACACAGGAAGGCAGCACAGGAAAGGGAAATAACAGCCTTCAATTTATTGGTGGAGACATTACATCATTTACTTTGCAATGTGTCTGTATTTCACAGGCAGAATAATATCAGCAAGCTCCAAGATAAGGAATTTCAAGAATAAATCTAGTTCAGATTTCATCATAATGTCAATATTTGCTGTATTAATACTACAGTTCCTCTCAGTTTACACTCAGTAATATGTTGTGTGTAAAGGGAAAAGATCTTCCAAATGAGCTGTGCATATAACCTGGGAATCGCCAGGTTCGGAAAACAGTTCACTCTGCTGCTGGAGGGTTCATTCATTGCTGGATGCAAGGAGGTAGGAACAGGTCTTCAACTGGCAGAAACCAGTTGACTTCCACCTCATATGGCTTTGTTTGGGGGTTTTATTTTTCAGGCTTTTAGTACCAAACCTGACAACTAGGACAGACCATCATGCTCCTGTCAAAACCATCCGACAGCCCAACCCAGGCACTGGAGGCCATTGCAGGGTACCATGCAGAGACTCCTTGCTGCCCTATGGTAAGGTGTGGAGCAGCGCGAGACCAGGCGCTGGTGGCCAGCTTGTTGGGGCTGGGCTTTGGCTGCAGCTGCTGGAGGAGTCACTGCTGAAGGCAGAGGGGCAGCAGCCAGCGAAGCTGCTCATTGGACATGATGGAAGTGCCGGGGACGTTGTAGATGGAAAGCGTGGGTATGGCCATCACTGAAATCCTGAACCCTTTGACTAGCTAATGGGGTTAAAATGCATTAAATTCGGGCAGAAGGTGGAGTCAGACTCCTTAAACACAACCCTAAGAAACACAAATTTCTGCAGGCCTAAGGAGCAGTTTGCCAATGGCTACTCTGCTAAGCCCAAAAAAACCAGACGACTTCATGGTGGGATGCTTGCTGTGCATTTTCTACCCATTTATTGCAAAGCATGTTGTCAAGGGCAGCCGCGTGTCTCTCCAAAGGCTGCACAGGTTTCTGTAGTACACACAGTATCAGCAGTATCCACCCCACACGCCCCAGCTCACACGCGGCGTGTGGGTTTGTCCTACTATTTCTGCTATGCTTAATACACACAGAAATGTCTCAGGGAATTCGTAACTCGTCATTCAGCAGCAGCTCTCCCCGTAGCCCTTGTCAAGGTGGATGAAGCACTCCTTCCGACGCTGCAGTTACCATTGCCTGGGGATGACTCTGTGATCGATGACTTGCCGATCTGTTCCAGCAGAGTAACCTCCACTTTGTGACCTCCCAGTTTGCGTCTCCGTTGTGCCCCGGCCTGGAGCTCACCATCTGTGCCTCTGGCATTCTGCCACTCACACAGGTCTCTGCATAAACCGCCCCTCCTCATGCTGGAGAAGTGGACTTCACTGATAGCTATGGTGACTAAAGGTACTGCCCACAACATTATTGACTCCGTCTTTCAGATCTTGGTGTTTTGCAGAATCAGAAGCTACGAGCTTGACTAGCCAGCTTAGACTATCGTCCCCGTATCTGTTCTGTCAGATGTGTCATGTGTGGCCCAGAGTGGCAAGGCCCATGCTGCGCAGTGAGCTCAGGACATGCAGAGCAGGTCCCTTGACCACCATCCTCAGCAATGTACAGAGCAAACGGAACTGTCATAATTCACAGGATAACAAAGGCTGATCATTTTCTGCCTGAACTGAACATTTCTTTGCCAAGTTCCGTGACTCACCAAGAAGAAAATAATCCAGATGATTCTGTTTATTGCTATACCGGTTAATTTTCCTTATTTCAAAGTTGTCCTTTATAACCTTGAAGGATCCTAATAATGCACATGTCATTCGGCTTTATTCAGATAAACCACGTTAAGTGCACATGCTTGGCAGAGAAGTGCTCCTTTCTGCCCAAAAATTAATTCTGAATTTGTGTAATACTCTCTGTGAACAAACAATGTTTTTATTAGCTTTATAGAATGCACCTCCCCTCTACAGAAAAAATGGTTACTGACAGCACAAGAGATGATATGGAATAAAATTAAATCTAACATTCAAAATAATAATGAGTATTTCCACATATATTTCTACATTTCTACATTTTCTCATACCGAGCTTAAAATCAGTACTGTTTGGATCACAGACCACTACTGAATGCCACGGTAAAGAAACTATATAAGCAATGATAATTACCATTTAAAAATAGTTAACAGTGTGAATCGGAAGATTTAATGTGTTTTATTCTTTTAATGTACAGCCCCATTCCCAGAATTTCACTGGACTGTGTGGACAGGCCAACTGTCACAGCTGTCTGTCAAGGCTGAATTAGATGAAGACAAACAATACAGGCTTTGTCGTTCAACTGAAGCAGCAGCCTCAAAAGTTTCCATTTCTCATCCGAGGGCACTGTGGGAGCATTGTCTTCCCTCCCTCTGAAAAGAGAATGGAACAATTATGTTACTGAAATTCCTCCACAGTGGGTCTGAAAGATTGTTTATGTCCAGCCAGGGAGACAGGGAAAACTAAAAGCAGGGATTCCAGGACAGCAGGTGGGGGCAGCTTTAGGGTCTATACTTCTAGTGACATAATGGCCCTGATTCTTCTCTTTTAGGGTAAAGCCAGTCCTGGAAGATTTACTAGCAATGGAGGAAATAGCAATAAAAACGCAAAGTTAAATGCAGTGGTAAAATTATTAACTTGAAACAAAGCTTTATACTGGCTTTCTGAATCAGTCAGGTAATTGATTCTAATGTGGAGAGCATGGCGGTAAATTAGAAAGGAAAAAACACTAGTCAGAGAATTTTCTACTGTTTACTATTTTTGGGGCACTACCAAGTGAAGTGCCGAGTACGCTGCTCTCATGGGAGTCAGGTGGGCTCAGGAGATAGAAAGCAATCACCCCATTTGTTCCTCCTAATAGCAGTAATATTCATTAGCAGCAGAGATAAATCAATACTTGGTTTCATGCAAACACATATTCGTATGCTTCAGCATGACCTCAGGAAATCAGCTGCTCTGGTTGCCCCAGTGCTCTGGTTCAGAAGCAGCAGCTATGAAAGCATCAAACCATTTCATTCTGTTGTACTAATAGTCTCGTTTTTTCCTGAGGTTATTTTGGTGCTAACTATAGCACAGTACGTACACACAAAAAGTCCGTAAGTGCTTGGGTGCAAATGGTCACCTGGGGCTACCATGGCTTGCAGGAACAGTCCACCCATCCCCAGAGAGCCCCACTCTTTTTCTTAAAGAGGAAGGGGGCACAAAGGTTGTTAGTCACCAGCAGTGCTGTTAAGAAGTCAGCGTCTAACCACGAGGCAATCTACGCCATGATTTCCATGTGCTCCCTGGTTATCATCCAATACCCCCAAAAGTCATGGTGTCTGGCAGCAGGACCATTTGATGCTCCACTTGAACCTTCCACCAGCTGCCTTCTAAGGGAGGCTGTAAGCCTTTCACAGAGCAGGTGGTTTTAGCCACTGTTACACTTATACCTAACAGCACAGAGGATTCCCAGTTCTTCCCGAGGTTTGGTGTAAAGGTGTAGCATTAAAAAGAACCATATATCAATAACAAGTTATTCTCCACCTCTGGAAAAACTCATGGCATGCTTTTCAGAGGGCTACTGATACGAGGGTACAGGGACCAACACCTCCCCCCCCCCCCAACCTCTTGCCTGGACAGAAGATACTGGATCAGGGAATTAGACTGAAAAGTCTGAGTGACGAAGTTCAAAATAAGCCAAATACTTCGTGTTCTTAAGGGTCTGTGTAGGCAAACTAATGCTGTGACACAGTGACACTTTCTCAATCTCATTTAGTGCTACACTAATTAACAAAACTGTTTCATACACTGAATTGAGTAGTATCTCTCTTCTTTCTTGCATAATCCCTAGTGTGATGTGAGGGTGATTGAGTATCTAATTACTCCTTAATTGAATGCACATTTTGTACATCTTTCACTAGTTCAAACTTAATGCTTTTGGTCCAGAAATCAAAGTCAGTGAAATTAAGTTGAATTGGGATTTGGGCAGCTATTGTATTAATGGATTACTTTTGGAAACGAGCCCAATTACCAGCCAGTCTGAATATTTCAGTTGTGCTTGTTACAGAAATACTTTGTGTTTGTTACAGAAATGCTTAACGTATTGTCTGAAAAAAGACTTATTGTGTATATTGTTAGTGTTGTTATTCATGTTTACCCTTTATTCTTGTTTAGGAGTAATTTTTCTGCCATGGTAAATTAATAGCACTGTTCCATAATATGTGTGGTCAAGTAACATACTATTCAGGCTAAAGGTTTATGTAGATATGAAGATACCTGCTTCTCTTACTCTTCTGAAAAGTTTCTGGAAATGTAGTATTTGAGCTACAATTATACAAATTGGCATGTGTATTATAATCATAAAATTGTCTAGATGCCTGCCTTGTTTATAGATTGTATTTCTGCCTTTGAAATTTCCTTTGCTTGGGTTGAGTCCTACATATAAATAGAGTACCACTGCTTCTGGTCAGGTTCTCTACAGATCAGACAACCATCCCCAAAGAAAAGCTTTCAGGATCACTTCCATAAAGTATAAATACCTGAGAAATCTCAGAGCTATTATCACAATAAACATGGTGTATAAAGAAGAAATATTAACAAGGTCAACCAAAATTCAGAAATCATCCTCAGACTGTAAAAAAAAATCTTAACGTTTCCAAGAATATTTATTTCTAATTCTTTCATGTAGTAAGTTTATGTACTTCGATTCTTCATGGAGAATTAATTTTCTTGTACAAAACTGAGACAAATGCAAGACTGCAACTTTATCTCAGAAACAAGGAGCAGTGACAGGAGCAAAGACAGCGACAAGCTTGTACATTCTTAAGAACCAAAGGTCCCATTATTCCCACAGTAATAGACAGAACACATTTACAAGAGAAGATGTAAGAAAACTTCAGTATAAAGTATTATTTTTCAAAGTCTTCCAAAAGTGTTGAGAAACCGCAAATAAACAGACTAGGGAGAAATGAAATAGGATGGCCACAATAATCTGCCCTTCCATCTGCTGGGGAGAAAATAGGGTACGCCACTGCAGCAGCTTCAGGTCAGGATCACTACACATGATCAAAAACTTTCTTCTGCTACTTAAAAGCAGTCAACCTGCTTTCTGGAGACCTTTTCCACCTCTTTTGTCTTACCATATTCCTTACCATTATTGTCTCTATTTTTTTTTTTTTTTGTCCTTATAGAAGCATCTTTGCTTCTCCTCCTTAACACTAGGTTAAACCAAAAAGTTTAAGGGATTAAAAAAAATCAAAGGACACGGGTAGGAAAATTACCTTAACACTGACTACACATTACCATTATCCTATACCTTCCCAAAAACAGTACCCAAAAGCATGGTCAGACATGGATTCAGAGTGTCTCAGAAAAAAGAACTGACTACCTTATGAAACCTTATCTTTCCTTAAACACTTTTTATTCCTTCCGTGAAAAGGTCACAATCTATTGAGTCTACATCTAGTTCTGTGGACATTTAACAACATCTAGCTAACTAAAGTGTACCTTTGTTTCTCTTGAGCCTCTGGGGATGCATAAAATCTTTTAAAAATTACAATAAGTTTTGCTTTGTAGCACTACTCTGTCATAAACTGTGGTGTTAGTCATAAAATATTGCTCACAACCACTGCTGGCATTCTCTTCCTTGAGTGACAATTATCAGTTGCAAAAACATTTTCAGTAACCCAAATAACTTGGTCAGTTTTGTTTGCTATTTATTTTCAAAACACTGCTGTCTGCTCAGCAAGAGTTTGTTTACATACTTCAATTGCATTGTTTTCATTCATATGAAAGACTTAGAACCACAAATTCTGTAACTACCTGGATCCTCAGTTCCAATGGAGTAATAATGTTATGCTTAAAAATCTCTGTGTGACAGTGCACTCCCACTGTATTACCTGTACGTCCTTCTCATATCCGTGACATTTGAGAGCTGTTACGTTACTATATTTTACACTTACTAATCTAGAGTCTCCATATTTTAAAAAACAGATATAGTTTTATCAAAGATGATTTAAGCTTCCTACCATTTTGCCTTACCATTAATTTGCAGCATTTTCCCCATAAGTGAAAATAACACAGCGGAGTTTCAGTGTGTGTTCAGACTCTAGCTTTTGTGTTAAGATTGCCAATAAACATGGCATGAGGGTGTTATTTATGACAGGCCCTCCCAGCTACATTATCACTTCTCAAGTAGCAGTGTATAAATCATATGTGGTTTATGGTAAGCAGCTGGAAATTCTACTCTCAAAATACTTTTCATAAAAAAGCTGATGATAACAGTGCATTGTGGATAGCAAATAATGTGTGATGCTGATAGTCACAGGTCAAGAAATTTGGGAGCCCTTGTCAGCGTGAAGTATCTTACTTGAAACGTACACAGAGGTCTGATTCCTAGGCTACATTATGGGTTTTTTAGCTTTGAAAAGGAAGCACAGTATTTTGCTGCTTCTTTGCTTCTTCTTTATATGCTAAAGGATTTCAACTGTTTTCCATTCCTCCACCAATATTTGTGTATTTCTACAAAGAGCTCAGTAAAGGATGGAGCAAGTACAATTCCAGTATGATACTCATTCTGGAAATAAGTATAACTCAAAATTTATTTTCTTTCTCATTTAGGGCTTGATCACTCCCTATACTGGTGCTCTGGCCTGGACACAGCATAAATTCCTACTACAGCAGCAAACAGTCTATGACTTCTGGGCTGCCTGTGGCTACCAAATCCCTAAACTGTGGCTTTTGTGTCAGAGGTATGTCACATCAGCAACAAAGATGTTTTGCTACTCACTAATTTAAATCCTCCGCAGCGGGAAAACAAGTTAGGCTGACATTACAGGGTTAACTTACAATCTCAGTGCCCACTCCATTCTCTGCTATCAAAACGCAGTAGTGGGAAGCAACCTGAAAAGGCTCCATCTTTCGGCCATTCCTGAAGCTCTTGGTGCCCTGAATGCTCCAAAAGTTTTGGTATGTTTCCAGTAGGTCTCTGATTCTGCTGTGTGGCTCACAAGCCAAAGCTGTTTGGCCCTCTGTTCTGTAGTCATGCACCCAAATGTAAGTGCACTCTCAAGTACTCTGAAGTGGCAGCAGAGTGCTGGGTGCTATACATAAGCTCCTAAAAACAGGAGAACAATGGTCGGTTTTGTTAATAACATGAAGTTGAGTATCTTTCAAAGACTTAAAACTAACAATTAAGTCAACTACCTGTTAAGCACAAAACCTAAACTCATGGAGACAAACAATGACCAATGAAAAATCACTTGCTGAGAAGTAGCACAAATACTCATATTTCATCAAATCTAGGAAATTGGTGTTTGTATTTCTAAAGAACTAGTGCTGATAATTTTTGTATTGTTCTTTTTTAAACCAGTAAAAAGAGAAGAATGGTTAT